ATCTTTTATGTCTTTATACCCCCCTCCGCCCACCCTCCCCACCGCTCTGAAATCACACCCACACTTTCCACCCCTCACCGCCTATCATTTTTATGCTTTGGTCTACCTGCTTTCAACTCCTTTTTTTCTCCCTTTTCATGCTCATGCTGTACTCTCTTGCCACAGAGCTGCACATCTCAGCATGTGGCCTGTCAGAAAATTACGTTAACGTGAGCTCTGAAGTGTCTGGTGTGGAATAATAAAAATGTTTCATATTCCCCTTTGGAAGAAGTAAAATCCTGCATTTATCAAATTAGAAGAATGAATAATTTCATTGCTTTCTCTTTACAAAGTGTTGTTTTACTCCCAGTTCTGATGTCTCAGGAAAATCTCTATGATGCTACTTAAAGGTATTAAAAAAAAATAAAAAATCTTTATTGTCCCACAATAAAAATTCACTCTGCATTTTAACTCATCCCCTTGGGTGCAGTGGGCTGCCATTGTGTGGCACCCAGGGAGCAGAGTGGGGTTAAGGTTCTTTTCCCCATTTTCACTTACTGGTGGTGAGTCTGACATAGTGGAAAAATTGCAAAACTTTTGGAAAGTAAGCTTGCATGAGCGATGCAAACAGCAACTTTTAAACAGAGCGTGCACGAGGAGAAATGAGCTTGTTCATGCTCTCTCACACATTTAATAGTCCGTTTCTCTCGGAAGCGGGTACAGGATTGTGCATATGCGTATTTTTGTGGAGAGGGTGGGCCTTTTAAAAGACTACCTTTAAAGATATGACTTATCTGTAGTCTAATTAATTTTTCTTACATCTTGTCTTATTATATTAACAGACCTCCATGTTTTTCATTGCAATTATATGCAATAGAACAGCACAAACTAACGGATGAAAAACTATGCATAGTTTTTATAAACAGCATTTTTGTACATATATTATCTTTTTTATATGTATCCAGTGGAACCAAGTTGTAATGTATGATCAGATAACAGGAATACATTGTTCCTGGAAAAGGTTTTTATATTTACCAGAGGAAATTAGTGAGTTACATGCATGGTGAAGGAACGCAGCAGACAGATTGGGGATAAAGTGGTGTTTCAGAAGTCTAAAGCAGGGTTAGGTTTTTAAACAATATCATAAGATTTGGAAATCTTACAGAACACTGTTTGGTCTGAAAATGGACAGATTATGGCACGAATGTTAAATCTAAAGAAGCTGAAGAGATCCATACCTAAATATTAGTTGTGCGTTCCACAAATCCATCCTTTGAGGAGGAGGGACACTATGAAATTAATTGTTGAAAGAAACCTATAAGGTGTCCCGTATGGACAGGTATGGACAGAAGCGTGTAGAAAAATAAGAACATTTAAAACACTGTGTGGAGGAAAACACCACTCATAATACCACATATGGACCCAGTAGCGTTTGACAGAGTTAAATGGAAGGTTAGTCAAAGCAAACCTGTTAGGGCCTAAAAAGCACTTGAGGCTGGATGAAGTTTCACCTTCCAATAAAAAAACAGCCCTAATGATACAACTGGAATGGTTCTGATCAAACGAACTGCAAAGACGAATTTCTAAACATTTTAGTCTGTACTGTAGATATGGAGACATAAATCAAAAGACTTATTTATCTATTTATTTTTATTGTTAAAATCTCCATACAATACAAATTTGGAATTAAACAGAAAAAATGAATAAACTAATGATTTGAACAAACTGCTTTAGCAGTTATGTTGTGTTTTACAGATTATTTCACTGTTTGTTACACAAAAATATCAACAAATAAGTATATTTGATGTATGATTCATTAGAGTTACTGTTTGCATTTAGGTGATAACTGATGTCATGAGAAGCTTTTTTTTAATCAGTTTGTTTTTAAGAGCGGCATTTAAGTTATAACCTAAAAAAAGCTGTACAGTTGGAAATGTTTGAGTTTCTTATCATCACTTTTGTTGTTATGTAAGATCCAGTCAGTCAGTCACTTATTTGTGCACATTAATTAGGTTTTTGATCAAAATCCTTTCATTAAAATGACATAAGAATGCTAATAATATTAAGAGTGTCTTATCCCCCCCTTCATTGTCCACCACATCAGTCCATTTGCTGGACATCTGCACAAAGATCCAAACAGTAGCGAACCATTTGAAAACAGATGGCGCGAAGAGCAGTGTTGCCAATTTATGTATTTTTTGTTGCTTAAACTAGTGCAATGTAAGACCCCTCTGGCGCTTTTATATTTAAAAAAGTGCCTAGCGCCACATCTAGTGACTTTTTTCTGTTACTGGAGACTTTGCAGACCTTGGCGACAACATATAAAAGCACCAAACTCTGCTCTCCAAAGCAAGTAGATTTGAAACCCCACCTCCTGCTCACCTCTCCCTTTTCTGCTGTCATGATTCATGCAGCTATTATTTCATTCAAATGAAAAATGGAGAAGAGAAAAGCAGATCGTGGCTTGTCTACAGTGGAAAGAAGGACTGTGTTATCTACCTTTGCTTCTGCCTTTTTGGAAACACAGGAAGGAGCATTTAGCTAAGTGAGAATGGGTTTAGTGATTGGAAAAATCTTTCACTCCTTGAAATGTCAGCTAAGCACATTGCCAATACGAAAAGGGGACAAAAGAAAACATAGAGAGGCAAACAACAAGAAAAATAATAAGAAGAGAGGGACAAAAAGTAGAACAAGTAATATATGTCAATTTAATTAAAATGTCTGTATAATGGGCCTGTTTTATGTGTTGTCTTCTCAGTTTATGCCTATTTTTGCCTAGGACCCCAAATTTCCTAAATCCGTCTTTGGATTACATGATAATTAACAAATCATTATGAAAAAATTCTATACCCATATTGCCACCGCTGATGCAGTGATTTTTTTTCTTAATCAATAAGAAACATATTTACACAAAAGGGTAAACATGCAATCATTTCCTGTTCTTTGTTTTTAAAAACCTTATAATAACTTCCCTTTTGAATTGATACATTACTTTGTGTTTATCAACCACCTACAGTTAATTTCTTTAAACTGCCCTACACTTTTTTGCACCATGGGACATTACTTCAGAGTTAAATTATTATTCCCTTTGCAGCCAAATCTAAGCTCCAACTAACATATTTGGTATTAAGCACACTTGTGGGGAGGGTGTCTAAATATTAAGGGACTAAGCCCTATTTTTTGCTTTATTGGTGTTATTTTTTACGTCTATCTGACACTTTAGGCACTCGCTAAAACTTTTAACATTTTTTTTTTCTTCTAAAATGAGACGTGATATATGGGATCATGTTCCACTTCCTAAAGGATTTTATCAGAAAACCACCCTACAACAAGCTTCGTTGGCTGTAATTCATAATGCAAGCCGAGCAGAAGATCATAGACTTCATATAGAGGTCCATAAATCCAAGTCCATGAATTCTTAATTGGTGTCAGCCTCCCATTAGCTGCACACGCCGCAATATCCTTAAAAGGAAATGCAGGAAGAGTCAGAGATGGCTGGTTTAAACAAATGGAAAAAACAAAACAACTATACCATCAACGATGGTTCTTGTTTGCCTCCTTTATGTGCACCTGTCTCGTGCTCCAGTGTCAGTGAAAGTAAAAGAAGAATGCGGAGTGTGATACAGTCACGTCAGCGTGTGGAGATAAATCCTGGTGAGGTCAGCTCTTTCAGCGAGGGATAGGTGCCACATTCAGATAAGCTGTGCTGCTGCAATGAAAGTAAATACATGTCGTTTATGCATTGTGGGCCTGGTTGTAAATGTGTGTTTTTCATGTCTGTGCTAGAAATATTTGATAGCGGTCATATGAGAATGACTCTTGAAAGAATGCACTCTGGATTGAAAATAAATGGTACTAATCTGGCTGGATGATTCTAAAACCTAAAAATATACAATTTGTAGCAGCAAGCTGAAAGCCATATTAGTTTTAAATGATTATCCAGAAGACTTGATGCGTTGACCTCTGAATGACTCCTGGGATAATCTAGTGTGATCATATCAGAGTATTTATGGTGTCACTTAGACATGTTGTATGGCTAAACATGATGTCTGGAGAAAAACACCGCAGTGTTTCAGTCATTCCCCCCCTTGGGGCTGTTGCACACATGCACACACGTCTCAGCTGGGATGAACAGAAATAGCAAGCTGTTAACAATTACTGACAGACTGAGTGCAATTTGAATGTGACAGTTTGACATTGACCAATCATTATTTCCCCAAGGCTGTGGAGTATATTCCCCAAATACAAACTTAAGCTGTTATTGAAATTCAATAGAAGTTGATATATAGTGTTTTTCATATTCTTAATATCTATGTAGATTTTTGGTTTCTGCAGACATAGATTATATTGGCAGATACTAATATAGTTCTGGAACATTAAAGATGTTCTTCATTTAAAGAAAACTAAATCCAGATGAGACTGATTGACACTATTTTAAATCACATTTAGTCATCAGTTTGTACCTTTTGTCATTTATTCAGGATCTTTGTGCCTTTTGTCTACTAGGGGTGAGGGGGAAATCGATTTGGCGACATTTGTGATTTTCGGTTGCCCAATATAACCTCGATCTTTCAGTTCCTGGTACTGATTTTAAAATAAACAAAACATTTTCACCTAAAACAATGAGGGAAAATGGGCCACCTTTGCACTGCCACTCTGGTAGATGGCGCCGTGGAGCCCTTTTGCTGTGCGGCAAAGCGCCATATCTGTAGTTGAGGCAGTCACACTGGAAGAGGTGGACTGACTCAAACCCCAAACAACATGGATACCAAAATAACTGCATGATCAGTATGTTCTGATGAACATATAAAGCACTTGTTTTTTTATCTATACCTTTAATTTGATAGCTAGGAAACACATGGCAATATATAGTGATATTGCAATATTGTGATATCGTATTGTGACACCTGTCTTGTCGCATCATCCATGCCAATACTCACCCTTTTGTCTACACATTTCACGGAAACAATACCTGCATCTATCAGTAATACAGGATTCTGTCACTCTCTTTTTTCCTCTCAGGGCCGTTGTTCCAGGGAGAACTGCAAGTACCTGCACCCTCCTCCCCATCTAAAGACCCAGCTGGAGATCAATGGCAGGAACAATCTGATTCAGCAGAAAAATATGGCCATGCTAGCCCAGCAGATGCAGCTCGCCAATGCTATGATGCCTGGCACTCAGCTACCCCCCATGGTGAGAGGACGTACATTTGTTGAATTTACCAAGTTCACTGTGCTGTTATGCAAGGTGTTGAATTCAAAATCCAGTCAATACCACTGAGTTATATTTATTTAGGGGTGCTGAAAACAGACACACAAAACACTTTTTAGATTTTTACCTACAATAATTCAAAATATTTGTGCATCGACTCCAAATAAAATACTGTGAAAAAATTACAATGACATGGAAGTTGAGGTTTTTGTTTAAAAAGTTATTAATATTGAAAGGTTTAGGTTTGAATACTTTTTCAAGGCGTTCTATTTTGCTTAATCTGTTTTCTAAGGGCCGGATTTATCAAGAATCAATTTTGCGTGCAGTAATTTGCGCTCGCAAACTGGAATTTTGCGCAAGGGGCTGAACCATGGTTTGCGGGTGATTTAACAAGAGCGATTGCGTAACTGGTGGCAGGTGCAAAACTGTTGGAGACGCCCTATTTAAATGATGGTTTTGCGCGTTTTGTGGTTTGCGGCAAAGTAGTTTGTAGTTTGTGCAAACTAGTGCATTATGAAATTTTTATCTTACAGTGACACCCCCACCCCCTCCAAAAAAAAAAAATAAATAAATAAATATATATATATATATATATATATATATATATATATATATATATATATATATATATATATATATATATATATATATAAACTTTGGCAACCTTTATTCCCTAAGGTGGTATGTGGCTGAATTTCTACTTCACTGCAGTAAAAAAAACAAAAAAACAGGTGTTTTGTATTGGCCTGTAGAAAAATGCACATACCAAATGGCTCACAAGAAGTGACTGTGGATGAGATTACTGCGCGTACGCATCCCCGCAGCATTGGCATGTTGCTCCACAGGCGCAGAGGTCGGGGTTCTCCATTAGGGCGTCAGGGCGACATGGCATTTAGAACGTCGGACAGCACTTCTGAAAAACGAGATCCCAGATGCAAAAAAGTGCAATGTTGCAAGGAGTTTTGTGATATCTGGTATTGCGTGGGTCTTCCTTGTGGCTGGCTCCAAATCCATTCGGAGTTCCCCCAACAGCTCCAAAATGGCAATGCTGGATAAACGATATGTTTTGATGATCGTGTCCTCGTTCATTGCAAAAATATTCACACGGAGTGAAAAAATGCGTTCTCTGCGTCGCCTTGCTTCATTTCGATGTCTCCTTCTTGCGACAATAACAGCTGCCATGTGTGCGCAATTACGCATACAGACCATTTGCACCTTCTTTTGAAACATGTTAAATATAGAGTCAGATACCGTAGCAAAATTGCTTTCAGGTTTGATAAATCACTTTGCGAGCGCTAAATTAATATATTTACATGTTCTCCTCCCACAAGACGCACTTTTGCGTGTAAACGCCCCATATTGCATATTCATTGCAGAAAAAGTACTAAATGGATAAGAGGCGCTATTTAGCATGTTTTAAAGTCCAAATCCTTTTAGCACGCTGTTGATAGATCAGTTTGTACATTTTTTTTAGCGTGCGCAGTGAAATAGCTCACGTTTTTATACACGCAAACCTTTGATAGATCCGGCCTTAAGTGTATTGATTTGCTCTGCAAGTTTTTTTCTATTGATTTTAAATGTGACTTTTTTCCTGCTTCAGCCCATGTTTTCGATGACACCAGGCCTGGCCACCAATGCAAGCGCAGCAGCAGCTGCTGCCGCTGCAGCCTTCAACCCTTACCTGAGCCCAATGTCTCCAAGCCTGATGCCTCCAGAGATCCTGCCCAGCACCCCTGTGCTTATGTCATCCAGCCCCAACCTTAGCCAAGTTCCCAACGCTGCTGCTGCTGCAGCCCAGAAACTGCTGAGAACAGACAGACTTGAGGTAACAGGCAACCCAATAGGTGCACCCAGTTTATTTTCAGGGAGCAACTGAAAACGTTATAGACTTCATAGAAGATAAAAAATGTGTAAAAACAAATGAAATAAACTCTTACTGTCTAAGTTGTGAGTCAGAATTGACAGAGTCAATCATGTTACAGTGTCATTTGATTTTTTTTATTACTTTATTCACTACCAGGAAGTCTGAACCTGTGTAAAAATTTCACCTGGTTAAAGAGAATGCCAACAGTTTCCAGTAAGAGCAAAACAACAGAAAATGAACAGATTATTTACTGTAATGTTGCATATGGGTATTTGTCAAATTCGCTCTCTTGATATTGTTTTTTTATATTAGTTGTAAGGGGAGTCAGTAGCACAAAAGCTGTTTTTACTTAATATTTAAAAGTGAGTGCTGCCCTCTGCTGTCTCAATGGTAGAGGCTTCTTAGTATTAGATTTAGTAATTATATTTGCTTGACAAATGTTTACTTTCATGTCTTAACTGTGTCCCGTTATCATGCAATAAAGCAAGTAAATGAATACATTTTAAAAGGAACAATTTTGACCAATAATGTAATGACTAAGCAAAAAGCACAGGCTGCTTTCTTTTCCTTAACTCTAACACTTTCCAAGTGTTCGAACTAGCCGCTGCACTCAACAAAAAATACTTCAGATGCATCCAGAAATGAAATTATTAACATCAAGTGTAAGCAAATAATGAATATTCCAAATAAAGAACATGTATTTCTTAAATCACCTCTTACATTCCTTATTAAGAAGGAAAAGGGCTGCATAGAGTGTATCCTTATGGTTTAACTTGAGGACAATGCAATCCACTTTACCACTTTTATTAATCAGCTGAAAAAGCTTTAAAACCGCTAAAAAGTCTGTTTAAGAGAAAATTCAGTCAATTTGTGTGTTATATGACTATAGGATGCATCTGTTGTGTTTTTTAGATGAATACATTTTTAACCCAATTCTATTCTACATTTTAAAATCAACAGGCTGGTGTCTATTAATAGGTAGTTAAAAGACATCGGTTGTGTTTTGATTATTGGTTGCTACAGAGATTTTTCAGCAACTTAAAGATTTATTTTCATATTTTCCATTTACCAATTTTAGTCAGTGACCCTGTGCTCTTTCAAGTTATTATGTTTTACTCTTACCATGTTACTATATGGCTGATGCTATTGCTCTGTCTCATCTAGATGAATCCTAGTCAGAGTTTGCTTAAAAACTTTTTTTTAAAGTTAGTTTCAAAATCTTTAAAATGCTCAAACAGTTTTTTTTTTCCAGAAAACAAATAGTGATGAAGTCCCAAAGATCACTGTTATCAGAGTAGCTTTATTTCAAAGCTACATCTGCCAAGCTATCATCAGTTTGCCGGCAGAGCAGCTGATTGCAGATCAGCTATCTGAGCAGATAGCCTCACTGATTGCTCAGACATTTTCTACTTGTTAGAATTCTGCTACTACTGATTGTTTGTAGTCATGAATCAATATTAAAAGAACTTTAAAACATTTAATGGATTCTATTAAAATAACTTCTGATCAACATGTCTTGTTTGAGTAATGCTAATTGTAATTTATTCAAAAGCAAGCTGTGAGCTTAACTAATACATGTTTATACATGTCAGCTGTCTCACACTGTTTTTTGATATTTATTTGATATCCCTCTGTGTTGTTCAGGTGTGTCGTGAGTATCAGAGGGGAAACTGTGCTCGGGGGGAGGGCGAGTGCCGCTTCGCTCACCCCGCAGATAGCACCATGATCGACACCAACGATAACACCGTAACCGTGTGCATGGACTACATCAAGGGTCGGTGCACTAGGGAAAAGTGCAAGTACTTCCACCCTCCTGCCCATCTGCAGGCTAAAATTAAGGCCACCCAGCATCAGGTGAACCAGGCCACGGCTGCCGCGGCCATGGTGAGCTTTCGCTTTTAGTAAGGCTGCACTCATTTAAACCCCACAAAATGCAGAGTAAGGAGTTTTTACATTCACAGCAAGCCTAACAGTTTTAAGATAAAGTACCTGCAGAGTTTATGCCCTTAGACTCATGATCACCTTCATGTTTGAACATGTCTCGCTTTCCTAATTGTTTTTTATTTTGTGTAACATTATCAGTTCTGCTTTTGCCAGGTCAAATATTAAAAAGGTCTGCATGTTGGTTTGGGGTCAAATCTGCTCAGTGCTGGATGACATGAAGAAGGACAAGACAATAGTCTACTGTAACCAGGACTGCTGTTATGTCAAGCGGTTTGCTTCCTCTTTTGTTAAACCGAATGTTTCGTTCCTCGTTCATCTCATCTCAGACAACGAGCAGAATCCAGTTCCTTTTCTGTCTCTCTCTCTCTCTCTCTCAGGCTGCCTTCATTTATGACTCCATTGTTTCTGTTGTTCCTCTATACAACTTCTCTTCCTCTTTATATTATTTAAAACTTCATTGTGCCTTCTGTCTTTTCCTGCTGTAACGGTGCCGGTGAATTCTAGTGCAGCCACACACGTCCGTTAATCTCTACATGTGCTTTTAGTGGTACAGCAATACAGAGAACATGGGGGTGAATCATTGTAATGTCAACCCGACTACAGTGTGCACAGTGAAACAGAAAAAATGTCAAATTAAACTTCTATACATTTTGCTGTTTATTCCCTGCGGCTCTTTATTAATTACATGTTGAATAATTTTCTGTTTTCATGTATTCCTGTGTGAAAATAACCTCTGTAGACCAGTAGTTATCATCTCTCTGATGATGATTTAACTGTTGAGTAGTAGAGCTAATGTCCACACTGTGCATGCATTAGCCCTGTTATCCCCTTTGTATATTGCATTCCAATGATTTGTTTTTTTTATTTGTTTTGTTTTTCTCACCTGTACCCAAACTGCACTGCTGCCCCCATGATGCACCTCTGCTTGCTGGTTTATGTTAATGCGCTTGAACCCCATTGGCCCATTGCCATCATGTGCTCGCTGCCTGCTAATTAAGACTCAGTCGGCTGTCAAATCACTGAAGCGACCCCTCGACGCAACCTTTGACCTGGTACTATGACCTTTCACCTTTTAGCTTGGCACGCATGTGGCTTTGTTGTGCAGCAGTGTTTTAACCAAAGATACCTAGCTACTTTTTCACACTGTTTGTCTCAGTGCAATGTGTGTTTCTTTTCCTCTTGATACTTTGTAATATCTGCTTGTGATGAAATGATTGTGGCGTGTTGCACTTAAAGCTTTGTGCGTCGGAAAAAACACAAATTTGGTGGTGCAGATTGTGATTGGGAGCCACGATCATTTCATTTCCTGCAGCCTTTTTAACAAAAGTGAGCAAGGGTTAGGGAAGCAGAGCTTCTATAAAAGTGGCATGGCTTTGGTCTTGTGTCTAATTGTTAGTGTCAACCAATTATGTGCATGTCTGTGTTGCTAATGCATGTGATATGGATGTGGGTGGGGGCTAGGCTAACCAATCAAGAGTGATCCTACCTTATCGGGTTAATTGTTTAAAAAAAAGGGGGAAAAAATGATAGTTCACTCATCTCCTGATCTTGTCACAAATACTCAGAAGTCAAGAATGGCCTAATGCCAAGATATATAGTGTGCTATGCCTTGCAAATAAAGAACTTTTTTTTTTTTCTTGGCTTTAAACCATTTTTGATTGTTTTTGTTCTTGTTGTTTTTCTGAGAGTGAACCATCACTTAAACATGGCTTATACAGTTTATCATGGAGCTAGCAGTGCAGCCTCCCTTTTTCTGTGCTTACTACCTGTTTCACTTTGTTAGCAGCCTTGTTGTTTTAATGGTTAATGCTTGCTTTATAAGTCGGCCTTATGAGTGTAAAGTTAATTATAACTATTTAATTAATATTAAATGCTTGTCAGCTCATAGCTCCAGTAGGCATCATGCTCCTGCTTGTGTAGTATTTGTGTCAGACTGCTGCTTGCTTGCTACTGATGATATATTGTAATTGTTGTACACAAAGATGTTGTGACTGTTTCTCTGAGGGTCTCTAACGTTGTTTTTGTTTTCTTCCCTGTTTTTGCCTCTTTCTAACACACCTTCTCTAAATTCCACACACCTCTTCCTGTCTATCTCTGCCTTTTATTTATTTTCTTTCTCGCTGTCCTCCCTCCATGTGGATGGGCAGGGCATCACCCCTAGTGTCATGGCTCCCCTCCCAAAGCGGGCAGCCCTGGAGAAGGCCAACGGGGCCACAGCCATGTTTAACACCGGCATGCTTCAGTACCAACAAGCCCTGGCCAGCATGCAGTTTCAGCAGCAGGCTGCTTTCCTCCCATCAGGTATGGCTTCCGGAGCAACCAGCCAGTGGATGGTGGATCACTCTAACCTGGCTCCTTTGCTTGGCTGGGGTTCAGCTGTGTGATAGATAGCAGCATATTTCAGTGCAATAGTTCAACAATTTATCAGACAGGAGGAAATTATAGTACAAAGTAAACAACAACAACTTCCACTTCTAACCGACAGAATTAAAACATCCAGTGACTTGCAGAAGTTTTCATAACAGTGGATGTTCCAGTTTTGTTATGAAAGGATATGTAGGCTAAAACAAAGTCTTTATATGTTAAATGAGAACAAGTTTTGTGCATTTCTTTACAGAACACTTACCAAATGCTTAGCACGTTTGTTTACGGCCCCCTTTACTCCGATACCTGAACTGAAAGTTTAGAGATCTTTCAGTGAAGGCGTCAGGATTTTTTAGTTGTTAATAAATAGAACCAGGAAAACATCACAAAGGTCAGAGATTAGTATGTACAGTATATATGTAGGTAGTAAGTAGATAAGTATGAAGCAGACCTGCGTTATAAAACGTTATCTTAAGCTTTGAAGTGACCTTAGATCAACGTAGACAACGTGGGATCCTACCAAGACAGGGCCTTCTTATATGACTACTACAGATACTGGAGGTCGCAAAGAGCCTAATGGTAGCTCTGGATGAGGTCAAACACAAATGACACAGCTCTAAATGTGGAGGAAAACCTGAACTCTAGATCCATTCTCAAACTTCAGATATCAAGAGTGATTTTCGTGCAGCTGTTAGATGCATCTGCTCCTCCTCAAGGACATTAGCAAGTTTAGCAGCAGAATTATCATGAACCTCTCATTTATTTTGGTATGTTGGAGGATGGAGATGTTTTAAGTTTGCAGGACACCAGGTCTCCTAAAGGCCTGGAGTTGGAGAAACCTTTTTTGTCCAATGATACCTTAACAACAAAACACAGTAGTGGCGGCATCATACTGAGGGGCTAAAAACACATGCTAAAGCCTTTGGTAGGTTGTGGTGTAACAAAATGTTGCAACATTTAAATGAGATAAGGACTTAAGCAAGACACTGCATGTCATTTTCGTAGTGTAATGGGAGAGCTTATATATGTGCTTTGTATGAAATTGCATGGCCTTATAAGTTAAAACGGGGTTTTAATCTCTTTCTTCCTACTAATTGTATTAAAAATATCAACCTATTGAGATTAGTGAAAATTGTGGATGCAATTAGCTAAATATGGAATAAACTGTAATCAGACTGTATCAGAACAGTGTACAGGGGGCTACTCGTGATTCTGAGACTTTGCTTTGGGCTCAATGCTGAAATCTGTATTTAAAGTTTGATGGTTTTATTGATTCTGCTCCTGTGACACTTATCAAATTAAACACTACTCTATTCTTCAGACAAAAGTCTTAGTCACCTCTGCACCTTCTCCAGTCACTGATGTCTGTGTTTGGGAAATATTAACCTTTTCTCCCACGTTATCTCTCCCTTCCCTCTAACGAATCTTGTGATGGGCTGTTTTGATTTCTCTTCCCAACCCAATCCACTTCCTGTTGCACTGCATGATGGGCAGGCTCAATATTGTGCATGACACCTACAGCCAGCGTTGGTAGGTTCCAGCCTTTCCTTCTTCAGTTGTTGTGTTTTTTTTTTTTTGTTTTTTTTTCTTTTCTTTAACTTTGTGTCTGTGAGTCTTTGGTCATCAAAATTAAAACTACCCTGTAGAAATTTTGGATTTATATCCTGTTTTTGATTTTGGTGACCTGAGAGTTGCTATTTTAGCTGCTTAAAGATGTTTTGTGAACTGAAGCATAAGTCCACAAAGTTTAAGATGAATGATGTGGACCTTTAATGTTGTGAAACGACTGTTGCTGAATACTGAACTTGTTTGACCGAGCTGTGCTTTGTTAGATCCTTTTTCTGCTTGAAAAACAAAACTAAGGGAGTTCAATTATAACTTCCCCCTTCATCTCCTCTGCTGTAATATCTTTAGAGAACCATTCAGTGTTACTTAATGTGAACATTTAAAGGTGCATTGCGCAAGTTTAAAATTTAAATATAGTTTTGTGTCTTTGACATGTAAAAGCAGCTTTTCTCTATTTGCTGCAGTTACATCTATAGGCTTCATTAGTCAGTTCATGAGAGACTGATTCAGGCCAATTTCTCCCTGATGAACGGTGCTTTCTGATTCACCTAGCTACTTTATGGAGTCTCCACCTGCAGCAAAAGAAAACGGGCAACAATTGTGAAGATTGGTGCAAACTCCACACATAAGTAAGAAAATAAAACTTCAGTCTAGTGCAGTAAAAAGGGGCAAATTACAGTCTGATCGGTGATTGAATAAGGATAGGATTTAGGATTAGAATTAGTAAATACTGGGGAAGCTTTCAAAAAGGAGGGTTCAGATTTGCCTTGGGAATGGCCCTTTCTCGCTTACAAAGGGAAGATACTCTCTTTACAATTGCTTCAATATTTATAGCATACTCTCAGACGACGTTACGCCCCTAAACAAAAAACCTGTGTGATTTCAGCAGTATACTGCGGGGCTTTTCCTGCTCTTCTTCATATGTGCACAACACGGATGTCATTTTAAGTTGTCGCCAAAGGGGGCAAAACCTCTGGAACTTGCGCTATGCTCCTTTAAAAGTTTATGCACCAAAATATTTCTATTAATATACCATACTGAAATATGCATGCAAGACCAAATAGCTTACTCCTCTCTCAATAAATGAAGTTCTCAAGAAAATAGACCTCTATTGGCATTGGCAGAGGTAAGAATGGGGAGCTAGTTAAATCGAATCCCATTTATGCCCACCCCCACCCCGCCTCATCTCCCTCACACATTTGCCTTCCTTTTATTTGCCTGGTTTGTATGTGGCTCCTCTGCTCCTCTTTGTATTTATGCTTACATGATTTTCCCTCCTAAAAAAGTTCCCATGATGCACGGTGGTACTCCAGCCACTGTGTCTGCAGCCACCACATCTGCCACAAGCGTTCCCTTCGCAACTGCCTCCACCAATCAGGTTTGCACCTTTACCTCTATCTATCTATCTATCTATCTATCTATCTATCTATCTATCTATCTATCTATCTATCTATCTATCTATCTATCTATCTATCTATCTATCTATCTATCTATCTATCTATCTATCTATCTATCTATCTATCTATCTCTGCACATGAAAAGAGTTGGAATGCTTGTCTTACAATGGGTGGGTTGGGTAGAAAGCAGTACTCCCTCTTGTTGGCCGACACCAGTCCAACATGGCATATTAAATGTCTTAATAAATGATGGCAAAGCGTATCTTTAGGCCATTAAGTTAATCACAATTATAACAATTACTTTTACTAAAGTATCTGATGTGTATTTATTCTGTGTCCTCATTGTAACCTTGATTTTTGTCCTTTCCACCTTTGAGGACTCTTCCTTATCAAAGTTGACTACCAACGAATACATGCAATTGGTATGTATGAGGTAGTTCTTTTTTTTAAAATTTGTTTATTATATTTCTTTTTTAACATTTTTGAAAACCTTTTTGCACAGCTTGTGCAACAGCCGCTGTCTTTGCCCCCTCGGTGCTTGGCTTACTTTTGTTTTTTTTTTGCTCCTTTTTTTGCAGCTGCTTCCACATAAAGCAGAGCTTTTTCCATTTCCTTTGTGTTTATTAGCAGGACTTTATTACTTTTTGATAAAAACAAAGAAATGCAATATTAAAAACGTTAGATTTCAATTTTCTATGGAAGCATATTATCCAGGCAAAATAAATTGCATTATTGCAACATGTTTTCACATCTGATTGAGGTGTGAAGGTCAACAACATGGAGGACTAAATTTGCATGGGGGAAGTCACCTAACTGACAGTTTGCCAACAACCCCGTTTCACCCTTCCTTTAAGTCGTCTTCTTCCCCTCCTGCCTTGATTGAAGTATTTGTCCTTAGAATAGAAAATCTGCATTGAATGCACCTGAATGTAGCATAAAAGCTTGAAATGTCTTATTAACTTTGTCTCTTTTCAGCAAAGAGTTCATCTTATAGAGAGAGGATGTGGTTACATTGTGCTGATCTGTTTAAGAAGCCGATGCTCAGTGTTTTTGATTTTACATGCTTCATTTGGTCTCTGTTTTCTGTCACCAGATTCCAATAATATCTGCAGATCATCTGAGTAGTCACAAGTACTTGACTCAAATGTAGTTCCTCTTAAGAACAGTGAGTTTCTATTTTAAGTGTTTTATTCTCTTTATTCATTTCAAGTCATTTCGCGACCCAAGTTATCTCTGCTGCTTTAATAGTTTTAACACTTTCTAGAATTAAAGCCTATAGTGCAGCCACAAACTTTGGTGAACCTTATGTGATAGACCAGCAAAAAATAGAAGAATATATATATATATATATATACACAAGCCAAGTCTTACAAGGTTTTAGTGTTGGTCAGACGATACCAAGAAATAAACTTTCTGATTAATAAACTACATGCTAACACTGCTCATTATTCTGAACCCAACATCCCTGTATAAAGCATAGTGGTGGCAGCGTCATGTTGTTGGTAACGGGTTCTTTAGCACAAGAGGGCAGTTAGTGAGTTAATGGACTGATCTAAATGACAGGCAGTCAAAAGAATCACTTGGAATTTATGCCCAACCTTAAATGCTTTCAGATTCTCAATCCAATAGGACCAATCTCAGGCTTTTTCACCCAAAAAAAAAAAGATTTGACAAAATAGTAAGTAATTATGTGTCTAGATGTGCAAAGCTGGTAGAAACACACTCAAAATTTCGTTCAGTTTTAATTAGAGCAAAATGTGGTTCTATCCAATGTTAAAATAGAGCTGAATACTTATGTCACCGTATTTTTTTAATTTGTGATATTTTAGTAAATGTTTTAGTATAAAACAAAACAAAGTGAGGGGCTGAATTTTATTTCCCTAAACATTTCTTAAGTCAAATCCATGTTTTCTTACAGATCAAATGAATGTGTGCTGGCACCGTCCAAGCCAAAAGAGTTAAGCCTTTATGTACATAACCTTCAGAATGTCAAGCAATGGGACAAGGAGGGTCAGCCATCTCTTAGCCTGTCCACAATGAGGGACTCGTCACATGCGTCAAGGGTACAACACATGATCTGTGCCATCTTCCCACATATCAATATCCAGAAGAATTTGCCGTCAGAGTCAACGTCCAGCCAAGAAGAGGAGGATCACGTGATACATCGGTGTATCTGAATCCGTTTGCTCTACTTGTTATCATTACTGCATGCACAGGAGGTCAAGAGCGATGTTACATGAGACAACATCTAGTGCTGGTACGTTAATAGACCAACAGTTTCCTTCCTTTTATCTACTTTTTTTTTTTCAGCTTCGTTTGTAATCGATAGCCATATTTCATAGTTTACAAGTGGAATGCAAATATGCACCTTGAATTTAATTGAATTCTGAAAGGCACAATGATAATAACAGATATTTTTCTTCTGTCTTTTTTTGTTTTGTTTTGTTTTTCTCTGCCAAATGCATTCGGCATGTACAGTATTGTGTTAAACGGCTACTAGTGAAACTAGATGTTGAAATGAGGGTGTTGGACATATGAATGTTCTGGGTTAACCAACATACCTGTGTACCTTGAAAGCACAGCCAGGCTAGCTTTTCTCACCTTGTCATGTGCCATCAAGGCCATACAGCTAAAACCAGAGTGTTATCTCAGCAGTGTTATTTGTTTACCGAAGGTAAAACTTTTGTAAGGCTCTTTTTGTATTGTTTTCTTTAAGAATCTCCATTGTGAGTGTGTGTGTTTTTTTATTACTATTATTATTATTATTATTTTAATCTTCCTTTTTTTTTTTTTTTTTTAGAATGATTTAGATTTGAAAGTGGGGTTTAATTTGTTTTTTTTTTTGTTATCAAAACAGAGGGTCTTTCTAAAATCCGTCATGCCTCTTTTAACTAATTTTTATTTGTCACGATAAGTTTTTAATCAAGTCCGTCGACTCTAAAGCCTGGGAAATAGAGGGAATGGTTTTAATTAGCGTGTTTTTACCTGATTCCCTTCGTTTTCAAATAGTAGTAGCTCTGCAAGAAACTCTTTTGTTTTCAGGCCCTAAACGTCTGGTAGGTCATTAAAACATGCGTGCACTTCAATTTGTCAGGTCACTGTTTTAGCTTCTCCTGTTTTTCTTTTTTTTGCTAGAATGCAACGTGCATTTCAAGTAAAAATATGAAGCTTTTGTTGATCTCTCTATGAAACCAAAGCACAGATTTGCTCTTAAGTCTTACATTTAGGTTGAGGCTTACAGATGAGAAAATAATTTCAAGTTTTTCCTCCATCTGCATGTGTTTTATGATTATTTCCCTCTTAGATTTTTGCAGAAGCGTGTGCTGTGTCTTTACCGATGTTATATACCTAACAAAGCCTTAGATCACAATGTTTGGGTCTGTACCCAATCAAATATCCCTTCAATCACCTCGCAGGAAATAGAAAAAACACCAATGACATTTTGAAATTCTCTCATAACACTTTTAAACTTCACCTTTTTTTTTTTTTGTTAATCTGTTTCTCTTAAAAAAAGAAATACTCTCCTTAATTTCATTACATTTATGTGTTATGTACTACTTAAGAATTTTAATCTATTTGAGGTATGTAGTTTTAGATTTTTTTCTTGTTTTGTGTCTTATTATATTATTACCTGACAACAGTCATATAGCCGTTGTAGACATTAAGATAGTATGACATTCATAACTTTTTCAAACCATGTAGAGGATAATGTGTTTAAATACTCACTTCATTCATATAGCTGGACGTCTTTCTCCTTTGTTGTATTTGTCATTTGATTTTATTGATGAGAAACTTTTTGATACAAGGAATAAGATGTTGGAGAAGCTTTTATCTTCCTTGTAACATGTCAATGTCATGTTTGGAAAATACTATATTGTATGGAAAAAAAATGGATTGTCCATGTTTTAGAGAGGAAAAAATATTTTCTACTGTATCCATTTCAAAAAGAGATGTAGTTTTGTTTTAAATATTAAGTTTGCCCTGAATGTCAGGCCAAAACGAGCAGTGAGATTGATGTCGATGTATGTTGAGATACGGGGTGAGGAAAGTCGAGACTTCCCCCCTCCCACTGGGGAAGAGTCGGAAATGCTGCAGATAATGAGTTTTAACCTAAGGGACAAAGGTTAACATTTTGCACTTCTGTATATAGTAAAATTAACAGAGAAATAAAAAAATACATGTACCATAATGAGATATTATTTTGAATAAAAGAAAAAAAGATCTATAATTATAAGAAATTTTGCTAGATTAATTTAAAAATTCTTAAATTAGAAGACCAGCTAAAAATTTGCTTGCAAACAAGGGCACTAGTTTCTGGGCCAATGCATTCAGAGAAAGCTATGCGCTTATTTTCTAGGTGGCTCCTAATGCCAGGGAATGTTGCAGGGGAACAGATGTCCCCGTGTCACGCTAACTCTACGCCTCTGATAGGATGACATATCCATTAAGGTTCATATACTCACTTACTGGACAAGCAGTGTCCCATGGTACAGTAGATACATAAATCTATGAAAAAATATATCTTCTATTATATTTGATTTGATTGCATGTAAACAAAAGAAGCTGTGTAGATATATAAAGAAAGAAGGCACCTTCAGAATACAGGATCCACAGTACTTTTCAATGAATCGTAAGTTATTTTGTTTCTGAAATCATACATGCAGTAGAAATTATCTACAGTGTGGAGAAATAATACTTTAAAATTGAGTCATCTTACTGAAGTGTTTCCAATCAAACAAGTTATTTAACGGATAATAACCTATTAGCACTCGTCCACCTCAGATATGTTCAGATAGAGACTTCCAGTCCCCACTAACTCACAAGCAGTCGTTCCTGCTTTTCGTTGCTGTGCACTCAGCAGGTGAAGGCTCGTCAAACCAAATGCACATTTGGCAAATTCCTCTTTAAGATGAATGTAATAGTCAGTGTCGATACGTTTCTATCTTGAGGCTGCTTTGTATAGTCGCTACATAACCAAAGCGCTTTTTTGTTTTTTCTCAAAAAAACAAGACTTTTTAAGTCTTCTGGCTGCAACCAAGGTCTTTCTTCCCTGCTGGGTGCACATGTTTGCTTTTAACTGCTTTTTACCTGTAAGTGCACCAACCAGTTATGTATTTGCTAACAGCTGTCACACAATAATGTACTATTCTGTCTCCAGATTTGTTTATGCTCATTTTAATGTTGCCATAATTGACTCTTGCTGTATGGATGAAAACAAAAACAAAAAAATCTGAATAAAACTATTTGATTTGCTCATGCAATGTTGTCTCCTTGGATTTTTGGATTTGGAAGTTCATTTAGGTTATATGGCAGCAGTGAGGCCTGTAAAGTTCACGACAGGCTTTATTTATGTTCTCCTCTTTGTACTTTGCTGCAGCATAGGGTGGAGAATTCACACTTAAATTGCATTTGTTGATTGTCACCACCCTAGTAAAGTGGAAACCAGATATTTGCATACACTGCATTGAAAAAATGAGCGTCCCTGATGGCCAACGCTCCCTATCATCACCTCAGACCTGGTCTGCTGCGCCTACTCTGTGACTCCCTTATGTGCTTCACAGAGATCTGTAATCATCCCTGCCCTGGAATGATCTCTTTTGCTTCTTAAAGTTCATTTAAGAAGCATTACATTTCTCACTGTGTGATCAAATGTTCTTGTTTTGATTTAGTTAAGATGACCAAAGTTATTCGTATTTGTTCATTTACAGGATAATAAGAGTGAATTTAAGAACTATAGTTTATAAAGAATATCTTTAAGATCACAGGCTGACATAAACTAAAATGACTATATCTAAACTATTTAACAAAGCCCATATGATGATCTCATGGCTTTGCATACTTCCAATGGCTTATTTCACAACATCTGTTGAAGGAATGATGACCTAAGGATTAATTCTAAGGCAATAGCTCAAACATACTCTTTTTGTCTAATCTTGGGAGGAAAAAAAAATTAGTGACGATAAGAGGGACTTTTAGGAGTCTGATTCATCACTGTGTACAGTTTTTAAATGCAACTGAGTTTGCTTCATCTGTTTAAATGATTGCATCCAAAAATGAAGGTAATGTGCATACATAACATTCCAGAGATGGGGTTTTGTTTTTTCTCTCTGAGATGGAAATGTTTTAATAAAATAAGCTCAGATGGGTTAAAAAAAACCTCTCAGCAAGAAGGAAGAAGAAAAATGCAAGATTGGGGTCTGCAGAGACATCCAGGAGACCCCTAAATGTGTACCATTTAGGGGTGTCCTGTGTTTGACTACAATGACCAAATCATCAAATATGTAAAGCATAGAGGTGGCAGTATCATGTTGTGGGGCACACTTCTACAATGAACAATGACAAATAAATTATTGGGAACATGTTAACACAAACAATTAAAGCTTAGACACAAATGGGTTTCCCCAAAGGGACAATAATAATCAAACCACCTTGTTAGTTACAAGTTGGCTTGGGTGGAAAAACTAACTTTAAATTCATTAAATATATTTCAACCAAATGAGTCTTCATGACAAATTTAGAGTTTACCATCATGCTTTGAGGTTTGAGTCTTGAATCTGGGAGGGAATCAGAGGTAGAAGTTAATAATTAGGGTGATGCTAAGATCACCATCCAACCTCAGAGATGGTCCATCAAAACATCAAGAAATATTTTGACTTAGACAAGTTTTATTGTCATTTTGTAAACACAGAGTGTATACAAAAGGACATTTTGTTTAGTACAGCTTTTTTTTAAGTGCAGCAGTGATCAATTGTAAACAGTGTGGGAGAAAAAAACAGTGAAAAAAAACTCCTCATTGATATGGAAGTTCAGAGTAATCAATATATGTGGTGCAACTGTGCAGTATTTTGGTTTGGTGTTATCAGTTTGATGCAGAGTCTTTGACATGATTAAGACTTTTTTCAACAGTTCAGCAGTCTGATGGCGGTGGGGAAGAAGCTGTTTCGGAATCTGCTGGTCCTGCATCAAATGCTGCGAAGCCTCTTCCCAGAGAGCAGCAGGGGGTGTGGTGGGGGTGTAAGGGGTCATTGATGATGTTACCGGCTTGGGACACGCAGCGCTGGGATGAAATGTGTTTTATGGATGGAAGAGGAGCCCCGATGATCTTCTGTGCTGTTCTTACTACTCTTCTCACCTTCTTCCAGTCTGAGACGCTGCAGCCTCCACACAGTGAGACAAACTCATCAAGGTTTATGGATGTAATGGGACTTAATACGAAATGGGATATTAATAATTTTTGCAGGAAGAGCTCTTAGTGGCGTCCAGATATGATGGACTAAATAAATGTATCAGTATCGGCTGTTATTCGTCCTTTTTTATACATTAATGTTTTTGAGCCCTTTATAAAATAATGCACTAAAGGCAGGCATCTGTCTGTAACTATACGTACCACAAATGTATTGTGGTACTCTTGTGTTCTTAACAATAGGAAAGCATTCAATAAATATATGTTTGAGCTCATTTTTGGAAAATATAAACCCTATTGACACCTACATTAGCTGTGTATTTCCTGTATGGGGCCGCCCTATACAGCTGCTTTTTGTATCTTTGCTTCTGTCACCTTGAACCCCAGTCGCCTTTGCAGATGGCCGCTCACACTGAGCCTGGTTCTGCTGGAGGTTTCGTCCTGTTAAAAGGGGTTTTTTCCTCTCCACTGTCGCTACAAGCATGCTTAGTGTGAGGGAGTCAATGAGTTGATGCAATCAACTGGTTTTCCTTAGATAGAAAACTTTTAATCAATTTGACTGTATGATCTGGTTGAACTGTGGAGTGCCTTGAGATGACATGTGTTGTGAATTGGCGCTATATAAATAAAGTGAATTGAATTATTGAAAGCGTTCAAGTTGAGTAGCTGTAGGTCAACTTTTATCACAAAGTTACACCCTTGGGTCTGATCATCTGACCCGCTGTGAGTGATGCTGCAGCGGAGGTGGGGAGTCCTGGTGACGGCTCCTTTAAGAAAACGGAACTGAACCTCTTTCTTTTTTTTTTTTTTTTTTTTTGACGAGCTGAGGATGTGGGCAGGAAACGCCATGCAACAGCAGAGACGCGATCACGCTTTTTCCTCCCGCACCGTTGCACAACACAGCGCGATCAAAATGCGCTTTAATTCCCCGCGCTGATGTCCAGGGCCGGTCGCTCTCCTCGGATCTGCTCCCGGCAGGCCCTCACCGAGCTGACCCTGCCTCGGAGGATTCACCGGTTTTGACGGCTACCGGAGGGAAGGGGGGGTGTAGCAGCCTTCCCCAGCTCCGATTGAAAACATCGGAAGGACGGAGACAGAGAGGGGGCTTCTTTGAGGGGGAAAAAAGGAGGTGTCTGCTTTTCCTCTGAACCATGAGGGAGTACAAAGTGGTCGTTCTGGGTTCGGGCGGAGTCGGTAAATCGGCGCTGACGGTCCAATTCGTGACGGGCTCCTTCATCGAGAAGTACGACCCGACGATAGAGGATTTCTACAGGAAGGAGATCGAGGTGGACTCTTCCCCGTCGGTGCTGGAGATCCTGGACACGGCCGGTACCGAGCAGTTCGCCTCCATGCGGGATCTGTACATCAAAAACGGTCAGGGCTTCATCCTGGTTTACAGCCTGGTGAACCAGCAGAGCTTCCAGGACATCAAGCCCATGAGAGACCAGATCATCCGGGTGAAGAGGTACGAGAGGGTGCCGATGATCCTGGTGGGGAACAAGGTGGACCTGGAGGGGGAGAGGGAGGTGTCCTCCGGGGAAGGCAAGGCGCTGGCCCAGGACTGGAGCTGCCCCTTCATGGAGACCTCAGCCAAAAATAAAACCTCGGTGGACGAACTGTTTGCAGAAATAGTGAGACAGATGAACTATTCCAGTGTTCCCAGTGGAGGAGACCAGTGCTGCTCATGTGTCCTGCTCTGAAGGAGCCACCAGGATGTGCAGAAACTTAGAAAAGTTCTTTCTTTCTTCTTAAAAGTTTTCTCTCTCTTCACACTGTTGTCTTATTGTTGCACAAGGACAAAAAAAACAAAAAAAAAACAACAACGGTTCATTATGTATCATAGTCTGGAAAGTGTTTACATGACAAAGTACTTGAATTTATAGCTTTGTATTTGACACTTCTCTGGAAAATGTGCCTCAGTGGGAATGTCTAGTTGTGAAACCTAAGAGTCATGTGTTTTCAGGCTTTTTTTATCATGCTTATTTTTTTTTTATTTCTCCCCTTTTTTCCCTTCAGCTCTAGTTATTTCTTCCAGGGCTTGATTATTTTGTTTCAAATGTAAGTGGTGGTGGGTATTTTATTTTAGATCCCTCATAGAGAAGCAAAATTTGCTCACTTTTATAACCTTTGTTGTGAGAAGAGCTATGAAAGCATTTAAAATCACCACTCAAGCCTTGCACAGCCTAGTTCAAGCAGTTCAATTAAATCCAAAAGGCACAAACCCTCTGCCCGCCCAGTCAAAGTTGAGTTAAGCCAATATATTTATGTATTTCTGCCCTTAACACATCCACAGGTTGGTGATTTGTTAATTTCTTCTTTCGAACCTGCACCCAGCTGACTGTGTTCCTCCTCGGTGCATTGCTGTCGCTGCATGGGGAACACTACGACCCCGTGTCAAGTGCCTTCCCTCTTTTCTCTTGTGACTGTGCCAACTGATGAGCCCTTACTTCCTCTGCAGTGCGTCCTGATGGCAATCAGAACTTTTGAACAGGTTTCCAGCCTGCACGTCGATTTCGTTTGGTTTCAAAGTAAAAAAAAATAAAATAAAAAAGCTTCTATTTTTCAGCCTGAGGGCTCAGCTTGTAAACAGACATCAGATTCAGGCCATTACCAGAGGTACTAGTCAGATAAGAACAAACAGATAACCCACTGGGATGTTGGTTCAGTAAATGGTAAGCCATGTTTTTATGTATGATGTAGATTTTTTCTTCCCTTTTTTCTAAAATGTGACATTTTGGACTTGGTGTAATTGTATTTCAGCTTTTTTTTTGGACAATATTTTCTGCCATCCACTTGTCCGTTTGAGAGACTTGGAATACAGAAGACATTTTATGTAACAGTGTGTGGCGTGTGTGTCTCGACTCATTTCATGGTACAGATGTTCTAAAGCTTGGGTGTCTGTCTCCAACCCTGGAAGGCTGGTGTCCTGTAACTTCTGGATGTGTCCAACACATCTGATTAAATTCATCAACCACCTCCTTTGGCGCTTGATCTCATCATGTTATTCTGGTGTGTTGAGGCATATTCCAGGACACCTGCCCTAAAGAGCCAGATTGCAGCACCTGTGCTATAAAACAC